TCCATTCTGAGATTCTGAACATAGTGAATGATTGAATCTGACAAACTGCAATGATATGAGTTTATTTCCATTTTTGAAACTTTATTACACAATACACGATAACAAGTTTACCATCATTTTTACAAAATCAACTAACAATGTTGTAAAGATGCAGGAAATGTCAAACAAACACTTTTACGTATCTTATTAGTTTAATAATGAGACTGTTAACATGCCTAAGAATTGAATCTGAGGAAATGTGAAAAATATGCTGAAAAGTGAAAAAACAGCATAACTTCTACAATAATGGCCCGATCATGCTGATTTTCGAACTTGACCTGCGTTTTATGAATATTCATCAGCTCTGTAAATATAAAGCCAAAAAGTAAAACTGCCCTCCACTTATCGTGTTTACAAGGAAAGTGCACGGCGCCGGCATCGGCATCGGCATCGCCATCGCCATCGCCATCGGCGACGACAGACGCAGGTGATGGCAATATGTACAGACACATCTGTGTCTGTACATAAAAAATGACATTTTTGAAGGAAAAAGTCGGAATTCCGCCAAAAGACGGAAAAATCTCATGCCTGTTTTGTTAAATATTGTATTCTGTTCGGAGATGGTAAAATAAAAATCTATCTATCTATCTACATAGGTTGGCAGCAGGACAGAAGACGACACCTTCGTGCCGATTCTTTTGTACTCTTGTAGATTGTATTATAAAACAATACGTATTATCTTTTTGAATGAAAACTATCGATTCTAATTGGCTTCATTTTATCTTGTGTAATACATATCAGTGACCAAAAAAAAAAAAAAACCCCACAAAGATCACAATTACCTATTTGTATTTTTTCCTTTTATGTCACAGAAATGCTAATTCTAATTCTTGCTAATTCTAAATATAACAACATTTTAACTATTATTACAATCTAGTGCATCTTTTGAAATGTTAACAGTACCAAGGGTTTGGGTTTGGAGATGTAAAAATGACATTTGCCTAGTTAAAAATTATACTTTACGGTAAGTGATCAAGTAGGAGTCCATTTTTATCTTAAAGATATCTATTCACTCTTTATTAGTGTAAGTCTTTCAAACGATAATTTTTTGCATTGTTGTTGCTCATCTAAAGTTTCATATAAAAGATGTAAAACACATGGCACACATAGGAAATAACACAAAGCAGATAATCTAAATGTATGAACACAGTTTTCTAAAAGATTCACTACAATCTTTTCCGGATCAATTTATGCAATCTAATCATATAAAATTATGCTATTGTGGATCCTATTTAGGGAATATTGCATCATATTAGTCAAAACACCTCCTGTAATTCAAATTCAATTTAATATAAAAAATTAACAGTTCAAATTCATAAAATCATCACTTGACTAAAATTACTAAAATACTTAAAGTACCCAAAATGCACTGTATTTTTTCTGTGAGATTACTATGTGCAGGTAAAATTGAACAAATGCAAGATTTAGCTAAATGTAAGACACTTCATCTTAATTGAACTTTGTTGATTAAATCCATCTACAAGTACGATAACCTATGAAATGTACCTTAATGGCAGCTACATCTTATACTTGTGGAATTCACCGGGATGGCAAAACAAAATGTTATAGTGAAGGAGGAAATTTTATCCCTAATATTATTACATCAACTGAGAAATTCCACTCTTTCCAGGCAATTAATATGATAATTTAACACTTTCTGAATATGTCTTCAGCATAACAGTGGACAGTAATAGGAGAAAAAATCAAAATCCTCAGCATGGAATAATTGTTCACTTATAATGTGAACATAATACAGGATATATGAATATAGAGCAATATATTAAAGTAACATTATGTTAAGGAGTATTAAGTGATACAGTTAACAACAGGAAAGAAATTTCAATATTGGAAAATTGTTCACTACCCTGAAAAATAACACATAATATAACATAACAAATATATTAACTAATTACTCGTTTCAGCTTTACAACCTGTTTACACTGGGCTTGCAACCATTTGGAGATTTATTCTTTGCTCACCTTTATCATCTGTCACAAAGGACTGGCCTAGGGTATCCAAGTGGTTTCAATAGGCTCCCAAGACCTCTCCCTTGATTTGCATAACTTTTCATTAGTGGCCTTGGAAATGGAACTGTTTAAAACACCCACCAGTATTGCAATTACTGACCATCACAAGACATTATAATCATGGCGTGACTAATTCTTGCAAGTCTCAGCTCACTCTCCAGTGGGAACCACAGGTTGTAATATACTCCCAAGCCACTCAGCGTGTGGCAGTGCCTGGTCACAGTGCTTTTGAGGAATGTGTCACATGTAAGCATTACAGAGAACTTGGAGGTCTTGTCTAATATAGGAATAAGCAACCAAGGCAGAAAGCTGCTGAGACTTGTGCCACATACCAAAAATTTTGTAATTGCCAAGTGTTGTGAGAGGGTTGCAGCCTGGTGTAAACCGGGCATAGTCAACATATCTATGTGCTAGACAACCACCTTCTTGTGAATAAGTTTGACTGAACACTTCAAGAGGAAAACACAAATATGATAAATACAACAAATATAGCCTTTTGTACAATTTCTAATAATTACTTGTACGTACCTGATACCTTGTGATAAAGATAAACCAAAATTTGTTCTGTGCATACTATGAACGCATTCAAAGCAAGCAGATCCGAGGACAAACAGCTGACCCACATAAAAGCAATCCACTCAATCCCCTGATGGTCTCCACACACATGGTCCCTGCAGGGGGCTAGCAATTAAACTTCGGAGCCGATATTTAGTCCGTTTAATGGCGAGATGGCGAGGTCGGCCATATTTAGTTTGCTGATCAGTAAGTCTATGGATCATCTGTTCTGAATGCACTCTATATTACACATTCCATGAAACCAAAGCCTTTCTTTGCATCTCATTTCAATGGGACATATGCTACGCAGAAATGTATAACAGGCTTTCACAATTGAATTATGCTATAACACACTGTATACCACACATTTCTCATGATAAATATGCCAAATACATTTGGCTTGAAAAATGCAAAATCTGAATTTCTCTGTCTAATGACAATATATTATTAATAATCTGATATTCACATGATAATTTGCCTACAAAATCATGCTAAAGTGAGCAAGTGCATTAAAAATATGGAGAATCTAGTTTGATCAATGTTTTATTGTCCTCAATGTGTTGACCCATTAGTCATGTTGGAGGTACTTGGGCCTGTGCTGGTGGTGCCATCTAGGAAACAGTGGACCATCTCAGACACCAGGGAACGGTCTGGGATACTTTGGGCCATGCCATAGATAGCTCCCTACCAAAGATATTGATACATTTTAGATCATAAAATGTCACATCATGAAGGCATGTAATTTGTTTCACTCACTATGCAGAGAAACTAGTATTACAACAATGGTATAATAGAACACAAGCTGAAAAAGACAATCAAAATGTTATTTATCAATAGTGCAACGAATCACAACAAATAAAAATACCAAACAGCCATTCTGAGCTGTCGACATGAAAATAAAATTAAACAACTGAAGGTAAAGGAAAGAAAAAGACAACATTTCCCTGACAATAATATCAACTGCAGATCAACTCACCATTCCCCCACACTTGGCATTGGGATCCTTCAGGATGGCAGCAGTGCACTGGCGTACTTCCTGTAGAAAGTGATCAGCAACACCAGGCTTGGTGTGCAGGAGGGTTACACAGAGATGAACACTGGAATGATGTCACATCAACACTCAGTTTGTGTCTTCTTTGTAAAGAAAAATACTCTTAAAACTATTTATCGCACTACTATTATTACTAATAANTAAATTCTACAATAATGGCCCGATCATGCTGATTTTCGAACTTGACCTGCGTTTTATGAATATTCATCAGCTCTGTAAATATAAAGCCATAAAGTAAAACTGTCTTCCACTTATGGTGTTAACGCTGAAAGTGCACGGCGACGGCGACGGCGACGGCGACATCGACGGCGACATGAACGGCGACGACAGACGCAGGTGATGGCAATATGTACAGACACATCTGTGTCTGTACATAAAAATTTAATAGTTCAAATTCATAAAATCATCACTTAACTAAAATTCGACTTAAAGTACCCATAATGCACTGTATTTTCTTTTGGTGAGATTACTATGTGCAGATAAAATTGAACAAATGCAAGATTAAGTTAAATGAAAGGCACTTAATCATAACTGAACTTTGTTGAATTAATTCATTTACATGTACAATTACCTATGAAATGTACTGTAATGGCAGCTCCATAGACCATTGTTACATCTTACACTTGTGGAATTCACCGGGATGGCAAAACAAAATGTTACGTATAGTGAAGGAAGAAATTTTCCCCTAACATTATTACATCAACTGAGAAACTCCTCTTTCAAGGCAATTAATATGATAATTTAACACTTTCTGAATGCGTCTTCAGCATGACAGCAGAGTGATACGAGTGAAAATTCAAAATCTTCAGCAAGGAATAATTGTTCACTTATAATGCAAACATATTATAGTATATATTAATATGAAACATTACATTAAAATAACATCATGTTGAGAGGTATCAAGCGATTTAGTAAACAACAGAATATAACAACAGAAATTTCAGTATTGGAAAACTGTTCACTACCCTGAAAAATAACACACAATATACTATAACAAATATATTCAGTAATTACTCTTTCACCTTTACAACCCGTTTACCTTGGGCTTGCAACCATTTGGAGATTTATTCTTTGTCCAACCTTATCATCTGTCACAAAGGACTGGCCTAGGGTATCCAATTGAGTTCAATAGTCTCCCAAGACCTCTCCCTTGATTTGCACAACTTTTCATTAGTGACCTTGGAAATGGAACTGTTTAAAACACCTACAAGTATTGCAATTACTGACCATCACAAGACATTATAATCATGGCGTGACTAATTCTTGCAAGTCTCAGCTCACTCTCCAGTGGGAACCACAGGTTGTAATACACTCCCAATCCACTCAGCGTGTGGCAGTGCCTGGTCACAGTACTTTTGAGGAATGTTTCACATGTAAGCATTACAGAGAGCTTGAGGTTTTGTCTAATACAGGAATGGGCAACCAAGGCAGAAAACTGCTGAGACTTGTGCCACATACCAAAAATTTTGTAATTGTGAGAAGGTTGCAGCCTGGTGTAAACTGGGCATAGTCAACATATCTATGTGCTAGACAACCACCTTCTTGTGAATAAGTTTGACTAAACACTTCAAGAGGAAAACACAAATCTGATAGATATAACAAATATAGCCTTTTGTACAATTTCTAATAATTACTTGTACGTACCTGATACCTTGTGATAAAGATGATCCAAAATTTGTTCTGTGCATACTATGAACGCATTAAAAGAAAGCAGATCCGAGGCCAAACTGATCTGTTGATCAATTAAGGCCGACCCAAATAAAAGAAAGCCATTCAAGCCCCTGAAGGTCTACCCACTTCCACACGCATGGTCCCTGCAGGGGCCTTGCAATTAAACTTCGGAGCCGATATTTAGTCCGTTTAATGGCGAGATGGCGAGGTCGGCCATATTTAGTTTGCGGATCAGTAAGTCTATGGATCATTTGTTCGGAATGCATTCTATATTACACATTCCATGAAACCAAAGCCTTTCTTTGCATCTCATTTCAATGGGACATATGCTACGCAGAAATGTATAACAGACTTTAAAACCTTTCATAATTGAATTATGCTATAACACACATTTCTCATGATAAATATGCCAAATACATATGGCTTGAAAAATGCAAATTCTGAATTTTTATGTCTACTGACAATATATTATTAATAATCTGATATTCTCATGATAATTTGCCTACAAAATCATGCTAAAGTGAGCAAGTGCATTAAAAATATGGAGAATCTAGTTTGATCAGTGTTTTACTGTCCTCAATGTGTTGACCCATTAGTCATGTTGGAGGTACTTGGGCCTGTGCTGGTGGTGCCATCTAGGAAACAGTGGACCATCTCAGACACCAGGGAACGGTCTGGGATACTTTGGGCCATGCCATAGATAGCTCCCTACCAAAGATATTGATACATTTTAGATCATAAAATGTAACATCTTGAAGGCATGTTATTTTTTTTCACTCACTATGCAGAGAAACTAGTATTACAACAATGGTATAATAGAACACAAGCTGAAAAAGACAATCAAAATGTTATTTATCAATAGTGCAACGAATCACAACAAATAAAAATACCAAACAGTCATTCTGAGCTGTCAACATGAAAATAAAATTAAACAACTGAAGGTAAAGGAAAGAAAAAGACAACATTTCCCTGACAATAATATCAACTGCAGATCAACTCACCATTCCCCCACACTTGGCATTGGGATCCTTCAGGATGGCAGCAGTGCACTGGCGTACTTCCTGTAGAAAGTGATCAGCAACACCAGGCTTGGTGTGCAGGAGGGTTACACAGAGATGAACACTGGAATGATGTCACATCAACACTCAGTTTGTGTCTTCTTTGTAAAGAAAAATACTCTTAAAACTATTTATCGCACTACTATTATTACTAATAATAATGCATTATTATTTTTATAGAGTAAATAACAAATAAATAAACACATCACTTTTAAATATATGCAAACTTATTATTTTCAATTATCATATATGAAGAAGATTGTTAATAAGATGCTTATGAGTTCAGAGACAAACTTCTTTGAAGATCTGCATATCTTTGTATCAAAATGGGTTTGACCACCAGATATTCATACTTGGATTAAAAAAAGAGAGCAAATCTGATATCACTGTAAAGAGAAATAAGAAAGTAGAGGACAGTATAATATAGTTCACCTAGATGGGAATTGCAAAGCATTCAGGTTCCAGCCCTTAGAAGTAAGCATATCAGAAAGTCTGTAGATATTGAAGTCCAGAGATCCAAAACCAATCACACTGACGGATGGCTTTCCATATACAAAGAGGCCTTCTATCTGGCGCAGTCTGAAAAAATTCAAAATAGTAGCTTTAACACATTACAAAACTAGAGGATCAGAGAGGCGATACCGCCTCTGGATATTGTACCACCAGCTGGAGTAAGCTCATTCGTATGGAAAACCGNAATAAGGAGCTGTTTGTAATGAAGATGTGAAAATCCTAGTACATACCACAAAATGTGCAAAAACTTTTGAAACAACAAAGAGACTTTTAGATTTGACATGCAGTTCAGTGAGTAAAACAATAACACTTATGGGGTGAACGATACTTACATATTTGGAAAAAAAATTACAATATCTGTACACAACATACATTTTTATTTTTTTTATCTTTTATGAAAAGCTACATGGTCATTGTAAGGGAAGGACAATTTAACTTGTTAATCTGAGGCCAAACTTACCCATCTTCAATATATTGTCTGGTTTGAATAATTTGTCTGGTAGAATTAATGTAGCCCTGTTCTCCTATATACACCATGGTAGCCCAGCAAGCTGCCACTATTGCACCAGCACGGCTTCCTACAGGAAGAGAATAAAATAGCTCATCAAATAAATCAACACACTTACTAATTCAGTATACTTGTTTTCTTTTTTTAATTTATTTTTTGGTTTAATGAGATGGTACCAAGGACAGGGTCTCAGCTCCTAGGTGCTACCTTAATTTTTTTTCCTAATTTACAAATCTTTGATTCACTATATGATATTTCATCATTATTATTATTATTCTGTTTTACCTGCCAGAGTCGCTGTTGCATAGATACCACCAGGCCAGTCTGGGGCCACAAAATACTGGTATAGCCTTATATTTTTGTTTGAATACAGAACCACTGAGGATCCCTTTGGTGCATACCCATACTGAAAATTAATGATAAGTCTTTAGCTCTCAATCACTTTCAAAGGCAGTAATGGTAAACAAACCCCATTTCAAGACTCTTTTTAGTTTTTTAAGTGAGCACAATTGGGTAAAGCATAAAAATTTTATAATAAATATATTAAATCATGTAAATAACATTACCGAAGGAGTCCTGTACCTACCCTGCCTCTTACATTGTGTTACTGCATAGAAACTGTACATAGCATTGTGCATGAATATAAGCTTCTCTTCAATGATTCCCTACCTTATGGGTATCTGCAGAGATACTGGTTACCCCAGGAAGCCTAAAGTCAAATGGAGCTAAGGGAAATCCAGCCTTGTCCATGAATGGTACAAGAAAACCTCCCAGACAGGAATCCACATGGACTGGAATATCATACTTCACTCCAAGCTACAATTAGAATGATAATTTATACCGTTATAACATCCAATTAAATACATTTCCATAATGATTTTTTCTCCCTTGTTTACATAAATGATGTGAACATATTAAGTTGCAAATAAAATCATGTCTCTCAGCTGTTTACAGTTTAAAATTGGTGAGACACTACCCAGAATTTGAAGCTACCATTGCTTCTCTTTTTTAAAAATATGAAATGGAGCAAAGAGAGGTACACTTAGTTCTAATCAATTTACTGAGAAGCCTCTTGCCTTTGAAATTTCTTCAATAGGATCCATTATTCCATGTGGAAAACCAGGAGCAGATCCAACGAGCTGAAAGTACCAAGATACACGTAATCAAGTTTAATTTGAAATTGAGTCATTTCTGCATTTTTTTTTTTTGCAATTGTTTTATACAGCTAATTAACTTAGATGTGTAAAAGAAATACATGTAAGTGTACACTGAATTGTGTACACATTGTGTATAGTACTGCCAACTCACCATACAAGTATTTCTTGATATAGCCTTCTTCATTGCATCAACATCCACCTGCATTGTGAAAGAGTCTACTGGAATATGCTTTATTTTTATTCGGAATGCATGTGCAGCCTGAAATAGACAATATTTAAACATTTGTAACTCATATAAATTACTGTTTACATATCATAAAGTTAAATAATTCAACAACAGTTATGAGGTAGCCCCTAAGAACTAACTGAAGAACATGCTCTCAAATAAATTGAAAGTCACCCTTCTGTTGTACTGGGATACTTACTTTGTCAAAAGCTGCATGTGCAGTAACTGGAACTAGCCTGAAACATGTTCAATAAAATTTTAGGAAAAAAGAAAAAGTTACTGGTGGATAACACATCTGTATTTTTCATTATGATTAAGTCTGCTTTAAACACAAGGGTTTTAAAACAAGGGACCAATTTTATACAGCTAAATGTATGATAAACAACGGGTTGTAGTTTCACTAATAATGTGCTTAATCCCATTTTAACCTTGTACAAAGATTATATTTTATACCAACAATTAAACATTAACAAAAGGTATACAAGTATCTAATGAGAATATGAATCAAAGCTTACATCTCTGGAAACTTAATGCCTTTTTCATATGCTCTGTCCCTGAATGTTTTACATGCCATGAGTATACTCTCTGTGCCACCAGATGTCATCTTTAAAAGGGGGAAATAATTATATTTGTACTGGTATGTTATGTACCTAAATTAGTACCAAGTATCAGGTACAGGAAGCAACCTGATTAATAACTATGTGCACACAATGCCCAAATAGCACAAAGATATGTTAATGGCTTGCTCTGTTAGACAAATTTTAGTCAGCAAACTTATCCTTCTTTTCATTAATTGTTGATAAATGAACAGATATTAATGTAAAATTGGATGTTACTGAACATAAGAATAACTGAGCATTAAGAGATACATCTTTAATTTGCCAATTTATGAAAGTTTGATTTCTTTCTTGCTTAAAAAAGTGTAGCCTACATTTCCACAACTATCTGGTCCTCCATGGAACATGTTACAGCACATGCGTACCACCTCCGCCTCCATCTTGCGGACATCAGGAAAGACATCACTGTGCAGTGGGTTACTCCAAGCAAATATACCATACACCTATGTGAGACAGTTAATTAAGGTAAAAAAAATGTTGATTTATAAACAAAGCATGACATCGATTTGGGTCAGATGTACTTCAATAAATTAAGTATTCATAAGAGCTTGAGCAAGTTTCAAATAAGTTTTTAATTCCTTTCTATAACTTATATTTAAAATTATCTGACTACAGGCAGTTTTTCTAAGCTTAACATCAAATTTCTGTTCATACAATTTAATCCAAGACACAATCCTTTTCTGCTGTTCTATGTTGTTAATAAAGTAAAACAAAAAATATAACAAACAAAATGGCTGTTACTGATATAAATAACAAAACAAAAACATTCAACTTGTTACCTTAGTAGCAATATCAGTAAGTACAGGATCTCCGCTGTACACAGTGCCAGAGCAGTGTCCCTTTTCCCAGTTTACATCAGCTGAAAATAAAAATAACTGATTGTAGAAATGAATGTAGAACTTTAAGTATATAATGCAAAGACTTACTTCTTATCACACAGAATTTTTCACTATATGATCATTTTTATTGTCTTAAGAAAATAAACCACAAACTGAATGCTTTTTCTAATTAGGTGGAAAATACAGAGTCAATATATCTAGCCCTTGGGATCAGTAGGATAAAAAATTTAGTGGCCTGGCCAGGAAATCACAGGTCTGGGACCAGTTGTTATTTAAGTGAGAAAAGTCTGAATATCTGATAGACAACTGTTTGACCCAAGAATGTGCTGAGTATTTAGATGGAAGAGTACACAACAAATACATATTTGACAGAACTGTACACACTAGAAATTCTATTACAGTGTTTCTTCTATAATTGTTCAGTACACTTATTATCAATAATTTCAACTCATGACTCTTTACAGGTTCAAACAGTAGTGAAAATGCCATTCTTATAGATGAAAAGCATTTTCATTTCATCATACTGTACCTAGCTGCCTGTAATCTTCAATCAATCTGAATAATTTTTCCTGAAAAGAAATAAAAAAACATTAATCAGGATAACAAATAGATGATGTGAAATTAAATAATATTAATAATATAGTACTGTACATACAACATATTGATCTGACAAAGAGAATGACACTGTTTCATTCATAATTACCTGAGATAAACCCTGTTTAGGTAAGTGCTTCATATATGTAATTGTTCCACCTTTATTGAAATTATCTTCAACATCATTTCTTGTTTTTTCAATTTCTGCAGCTATTCTCGCCTTGACCATTGGAAGTCTCCTAACGTTCCTGAAGAAAAATTTCTTAGCCCGTTCCAGCAGACCTGCAAATTGTGATGAAAAGCAGGGGTCATTACATGTTGACTGGTGCATTTTAAAACCAATGTTTTACAAAGAACAGACAGAGATTATAATTTGAGAAATGAAAGAAGATAAACAGAAAATTAAAGGAAAGATAAATGGTTAAAGGAGAGGCGAGAGAGAGAGAGAGAGAGAGAGAGAGAGAGAGAGAGAGAGAGAGAAAAAGGAGATGGGGGAGAGAGAGAAAGGAGGGGAGGAGTAGGAGGAGGAAGAGGAGGAGAACAGAGATCAGGTTTACTTACTTTCATCTTGAAACAAAAACTCTTTCAACCAGACCAGGACCACAGTTAAACCAAATGTTACTATAATTATCTGCCAAGGTTCAAATCCTTCACACAAGTCATTCATATACAGCCTGAACACCTCAAAATAAGGCTGTACTATATCCTAAAATATAAAAGACACAATTTTAATCACAATCATAATTTTGGGGGTCAATAATTGTATCTGTGAGATAACAATGTGAGCGCACTGGCAATAATAAATAAATAAATGAATGAATAAATAATAAAATAAATAAATAAAAATTCTGGTTTTCAGGATCAGACTGAATTCCAAATGATAGACAAAACTACATTAGACTATTCCTTTTGTAGAAACTAAAGTCTTTCTGTCTTATTCTCAACTAATTTGATTTATCTAATCAGTCATAAGGCACCTATTAAACCACCGAAAGGCCTATATACCATTTATCATTGCTGACTGCATGATTAAAATTTTTAATCATATCTTTAGGAGAAATAAAATAACATCCATCATCAAAATAATGTGCTTAAACTGACTGATAACATTTTTGTCAGGTAACAATCAAATAAAATAATTATAAATATTTATTACAGCTTACAGATAGTAAATCTCATATATCTTTTACAAGTACAAACTGTGTCTTCTTTGTAATTTGCTCAACTTGAATTAATAATCCTACTGCCATGATCTCTAATCTTGTGAGCCAGATGCACACTGTATAATTCACACGGTCTGATGACAAGCTTTCCTTTGTTAATTAGACATTAGATAAAAGCCCAGGCAGCTTGTATCTAGATTTGTATATGTAGATAAATGAAAAATGATGTACATCCAGGAACTTTATCTAATGACTTAAGATTTGGAAGAGCCCTCCTTGTTCCTAATTGGTCTCTTCACATGAAAATGGAATAATGTTCTCTTCAGATTAACTTTAAACATTTTTCAAGCAATAATTATATTATTAACTGGCCATGCCTTGTACAATAAAAATATTTTCATACCTTTAAGTATAAATTACTGAAAAATGATTGTTCAAACAGATCACATTGAAGGTAACATACTACATTGTACAGGATTTTTGTACCTAATTGAAATTTCCTTTGAAAGAAAATCACAGTAAAATCATACTGATTAAAAATGCAAGTTCCCCACACTTTTTTAGCCAGCAAAAATGCTCAGCAATTCAAACAAAACATTCCTATGTTGGTCAAACCAATTGGAAAGCCTTTTATTTGTGATATCTGCATGTTTAACTGTGGTCTTTATTTAATGGCAAAAGCTTTGCTGTCTTACTGCAATGGAATACCAAAATTGTAAACCTTACTGTGACAGTGACTGATAAGGGATTAATAAAACAATGATAAATATTTATACGTAACATAATAAAATTGCCATAAAACTGTCACCAGTAGTTCAGGAAATTAATTCTAGATGAAATAAAAAGAAATACTGAGTTCAAATCTAGCTGTTACCTGGAAGGAGTTGTTGGGTAATTAGTAATGCTAGTATATGTACCTCGTATTTCATGGTATTTTGACAACGTTGTGGAGATAATAGTTAATTCTCGTTTATGTGCGACTAAAATTAACTCTAGATATTATCATAGAATTATCCTAACGGAATTGTTAGGCAGTTGGCGTGCTGGTATATACCCCTCGCACATATTTTGACAACACTGCCAAGATATTATTCAGCCCTTGTTAGGTCTTGTTTATGCCCGGCAAAAATGTGTTATGCAACTCTAATTTTTTTCGTATCGCTATCTTGCACGTAATATTCTTTTCTCGTTATATACACTTATTATTTACTACAAAAAAATAAAAATATATATACCATTATTAAATTTCACCTATCCTCTCTGATTTCATCGCCCTGCGTAGTAAGAATCACTTACTTGTAATTGTTGTAGAGATTGTTGTTGCTTCGTTTCGTCTGCCATGACTGCTTTATCGCACCTTCTCGCGCCACGTGACATGACGAGAGTAAATATCCGACCAAAGTCCATTCCATCCAGACGGATGTTTGTTTGATTGTGTACGTTTGCGTTTAAAAGTCAAAAGAGTATTTTAATCAAAATAACCGTGCAGACAATAATTTGAGACTTGCCTTTCTAATGAACAGAAAAATACATTTAGGTAAACATTAATCATGTTATCTTCTCTCTCTTTGATGGTACCGACTGTACACGGAACTGAAAGGCAGTGCGTTAGTTGAGATCGGTTCCAAATGACCAGCAAGGGCGTAAAGCTTTCAAAAGAACTCCAGAAAAGCATAAAACAGGATCAATCCAACTTCCAAAGTTAGCATTAAGTAAAAAGAGTAATAAAAACAATATAGGATTTCTGGAATTTTATTTTTCTTAAAGGTATGCTATGCAGTGGTGGATTTAGAGGGGATCAGGGGGGGTCGTGTCCCCCCCCTTTGGTTTCTGAAAAAAAAATCAGGTTTTAAGAAGTGACTCAGGCAGTTCAGGGGCGGATCCAGAGCTATTTTCTGACCGTCTTCCAAATTTTCTTTGTTGATTTGACCGTCTGACCTATTTTTGACCGTCTTCTGATAGAAAAAACTAGATACCCGTCAATGTAAACTTGAAAATCTGACCGTCTTCCAGAAGACCCAGAAGACGGCCTCAATCCGCCCCTGCAGTTGGCGATGCAGTTCCACATGGTGCTGATTTTACTTACGTTCAAAAAAAGTCCAATATAACCACTCTTCATTTCTACCATCTAAAAAGCCGACCCATATGTTTCTAAAGGAGAATTTGAAATCTCTGTGAGGGGATTATGAATAGGCTACATGTAGGTNGGAGACCTGCAAATTGTGATGAAAAGCAGGGGTCATTACATGTTGACTGGTGCATTTTAAAACCAATGTATTACAAAGAACAGACAAAGATAATAATTTGAGAAATGAAAGAAGATAAACAGAAAAGGAAAGGAAAGATAAATGGTTAAAGGAGAGAGAGAGAGAGAGAGAGAGAGAAAGGAGACGGGGGAGAGAGAGAAAGGAGGGGAGAAGTAGGAGGAGGAAGAGGAGGAGAACAGAGATCAAGTTTACTTACTTTCATCTTGAAACAAAAACTCTTTCAACCAGACCAGGACCACAGTTAAACCAAATGTTACTATAATTATCTGCCAAGGTTCAAATCCTTCACACAAGTCATTCATATACAGCCTGAACACCTCAAAATAAGGCTGTACTATATCCTAAAATATAAAAGACACAATTTTAATCACAATCATAATTTGGGGGGTCAATTATTGTATCTGTGAGATAACAATGTGAGCGCACTGGCAATAATAAATAAATAAATGAATGAATAAATAATTAAATAAATAAATAAAAATTCTGGTTTTCAGGATCAGACTGAATTCCAAATGATAGACAAAACTACATTAGACTATTCCTTTTGTAGAAACAAAAGTCTTTCTGTCTTATTCTCAACTAATTTGATTTATCTAATCAGTCATAAGGCACCTATTAAACCCCCGAAAGGCCTATATACCATTTATCATTGCTGACTGCATGATTAAAATTTTTAATCATTTCTTTAGGAGAAATAAAATAACATCCATCATCAAAATAATGTGCTTAAACTGACTGATAACATTTTTGTCAGGTAACAATTAAATAAAATAATTATAAATATTTATTACAGCTTACAGATAGTAAATTTCATATATCTTTTACAAGTATAAACTGTGTCTTCTTTGTAATTTGCTCAACTTGAATTAATAATCCTACTGCCATGATCTCTAATCTTGTGAGCCACATGCACACTGTATAATTCACACGGTCTGATGACAAGCTTTCCTTTGTTAATTAGACATTAGATAAAAGCCCAGGCAGCTTGTATCTAGATTTGTATATGTAGATAAATGAAAAATGATGTACATCCAGGAACTTTATCTAATGACTTAAGATTTGGAAGAGCCCTCCTTGTTCCTAATTGGTCTCTTCACATGAAAATGGAATAATGTTCTCTTCAGATTAACTTTAAACATTTTTCAAGCAATAATTATATTATTAACTGGTCATGCCTTGTACAATAAAATATTTTCATACCTTTAAGTAAAAATTACTGAAAAGTGATTATTCGAACAGATCACATTGAAGTTAACATACTACAGTGTACAGGATTTTTGCACCAAATTGAATTTTCCTTTGAAAGAAAATCACAGCAAAAATCATACAAATGAAAAATGCAAGTTCCCCACACTTCTTTTAGCCGGCAAAAAATGCTCAGCAATTCAATTAAACAAAACATTCCTATGTTGGTCAGCCTTTTATTTTTGATATCTGCATGTTTAAGTGTGGTCTTTATTTAATGGCAAAAGCTTTGCTGCCTTACTGCAATGGAATACCAAAATTGTAAACCTTACTGTGCCAGTGACTGATAAGGGATTAATAAAACAATGATAAACATTTATACGTAACATAATAAAATTGCCATAAAATAGTCACCAGTAGTTCAGGAAATTAATTCTAGATGAAATAAAAAGAAATACTGAGTTCAAGTCTAGCTGTTATCTAGAAGGATTTGTTGGGTAATTAGTAGTGCTAGTATATGTACCTCGTATTTCATATGGTATTTTGACGTTGTAGAGATAATATAGTTAATCCTTGTTTATGTGCGGCTAAAAAGAACTCTAGATATTTTCATAGAATTATGCCAACGGAATTGTTAGGCAGTTGGCGTGCTGGTATATACCCCTCGCACATATTTTGACAACGCTGCCAAGATATCATTTAGCCCTTGTTAGTTCTTGTTTATGCCCGGCAAAAATGTGTTATGCAACTCTAATTTTTTTCGTATCGCTATCTTGCACGTAATAATCTTTTCTCGTTATATACACTTATTATTTACTACAAAAAAATAAAAATATATATACCATTATTAAATTTCACCTATCCTATCTAATTTAATGGCCCTGCGTAGTAAGAATCACTTACTTTTAATTGTTGTAGAGATTGTTGTTGCTTCGTTTCGTCTGCCATGACTGCTTTATCGCACCTTCTCGCGCCACGTGACATGACGAGAGTAAAAATCCGACCAAAGTCCATTCTATCAAGGAGTTATAACTCCTTGATTCTATCCAGACGGATGTTTGTTTGATTGTGTACGTTTGCGTTTAAAAGTCAAAAGAGTATTTTAATCAAAATAACCGTTCAGCCAATATGATTTGAGACTTGCCTTTCTAATGAACAGAAAGATATACATTTAGGTAAACATTAATCTATATACATGTTATCTTCTCTCTCTTTGATGGTGCCGACTGTACACAGAACTTAAAAGGCAGTGCGTTAGTTGAGATCGGTTCCAAATTACCAGCAAGGGTGTACATAAAGCCTTCAAAAGAACTCCAGAAAAGCATAAAACAGGATCAATCCAACTTCCAAAGTTAGCGTTAATCCAAAGAGTCAGAAAAACAATAGGCTATAGGATTTGTGGAATTTCATTTTTCTTAAAGGTATGCTATGCAGTGGTGGTTTTAGAGGGGGTCAGGGGGGCCGTGCCCCCCCCCCCCCCTTTGGTTTCTGAAAAAAAATCATGTTTTAAGAAGTGACTCAGGAAGTTGGCGATGCAGTTCCACATGGTACTGATTTTACTTACGCTAGAAAAAGTCCAATATAACCACTCTTCATTTCTACCATCTAAAAAGCCGACCCATGTTTCTAAAGGAGAATTTGAAATCTCTGTGAGGGGATTATGAATACATGTAGGCCTAAAGGTAAAGATACTATTGTACGTCTTCGCCATCGTTGATGGCACAAGGGGTAAAGGTGTAGATCAGCCTAGGTGTGAGCTAGGAGTAGGAATAAAATTTAAAATTCAAATAGGCATTGAAAAATAAGTAAAAAAAAAATAATAATAATAGGTATTTAAAAACTAAATATATAAGGTACTACCGGGAAGAGAAAATGATTTTTAATTTTTTCTGACATATCCCTTGTTGTGCTTGGATTAATATTAGTGTCAATAAGCAGGATAAAGTATGCTAGGCCGTTTTTTTTAACCAAGACCAGGAAATTTGAAAGAAGAAAACGTGTCGACTGAAAGTGTGACAACATTAAATTATGGGCCAAGGTAATTTTTTATACCAGCGGTTACCGACCTTCAGTGGTTTGTCTTTTACATATCCCATGTTTATTTTAAAAAAGTGTTTTCATAAAAGCAATTATCAATAATAAAAACAGACAGTCAATCAAATATTAACACGTGAAGTCATTTAGAGGGCATTTGATATATTAATAAGGCACTGATCGATCGCCAAAAACATCTCAGAAAATTATGTTTTAAGAAGTCACTCAAGTAGTTGGCGATGCAGTTTCACTTAGTGTTGATTTTACTCGCGTACATCAAAAAGTCCAATATAACCACTCTGCGTCTCTACTATCTAAAATGCCGATCCATGTTTAAGAGAATTAGAAATCTCTGTGAGGGGATAGTGAGTACAGGTAAAGGTTCTATTCAACGACCTCGTCATCGTGACATCGTTGATGGAACAGGCGTCACAATTCAAATTTGATGGCATCGAGTTCGTTACCAGCGTTACAATTTCACCTTTTTTATTAACGTGTATTTGCAATATTTTAACTTCAAGACAAAAAGTACAGGTAAATACACCAGGTAATGCAGTCACCAATGTGTAGTTGTCGGTGGCGCACGAAGCAATCTTCGTTGCCGTAAGACGCCTGGCCCCGTATCTCGAAAGCTTCGCTATGTTGCGCACGTGCGCAAGCGTCTCGATTCCATAACTCGCCCATACTCGTCCTATATAATACATTGTAGCCTCTATTAGATATAGCGATTCGCAATACGCGATGCTTTCGAGATACGGGGCCCTGGAGTACCTATAGGTGTAAGTTAGACCAGGCGAAAATGTGGGTCTGCCTAGGATTGAGATAAGAGCAGGAATAAAATCGAAAACTTCAAATAGGCATTGAAAAATAAGTTTAAAAAAAAGTCCAATAGGCATTTTAAAACTCAGTAAATAAGGTACATCTGTGAAAGAAAATGATTTTTAAATTTTTTCTGACATATCCTACATTGTGTTTGAATTAATGTTAGTGTCAACTAGCAGGATAAAGTGTATGCTATGGCCGTTTTTTTCTTTTTTTAACCAAGACCAGGAAGTTTGAAAGAAAAAAACATGTTGACTGGAAGTGTGACATTTAAATTATGAGCCAAGGTTACCGACCTTCAATGGTTTGTCTCTAACATATCCGGTTTGTTTTTAAATGTTTTCATAAAATCAAATGCTAATAATAAAAACAGACACGGTCAATCAAATATTAACATGGGAAGTCATTTAGAAGGCATTTGAAGGCACTGATCGATCGTCAAAAACATCTAAGTAAATTATGTTTTAAGTCACTCAGGTAGTTGGCGATGCAGTTTCAATTTGTGTTGATTTTACTTACGTTCATTAAAAAGTCCAATATAACCACTGCAGTGTTTTTTTACCGGGACCAGGAAGTTAGATTATCTCAAAAGAAAAAAAAATCCAATTAGGTTTTCAAAATCAACTTCCTGCAAGTTTGAAGACCACAGGCCAACTGGTTTTCCACTTAACAAGTTACCTGTATAGCTTATACACTGAAGTGAAATAACAGCATAACTTTCGGTTAATGGTCAGATCAAGTAGATGTTTTGGATGGAACCTGTATTTCATGAACATTTATCAGTCCTGTAAGACAAAAGGCAAAATGGTTTTCCACTTTAACATAAAGCTAAAAGTGTTCAGCAACAGCCACAACACATGTACGCGTGTCTGTGCATAATATAAGACCAGAGCATAATTGCCAATAAGTGTTATAATTTAATTCAGAAAAAAGAACCATATTAACAACATGACTTCAGAACAATTTCATGATGTGACATATTATTATTATTTTCTGAATTTAAACTGACAATTAGTTTCAGTGTCTCCAAGCTAACCCAATATGTGATTACTAAAATGTATACAATAGATAGCAAAGCCCTCTTAGTTACAATTGTTCCACATGTTTAAAATGTAAAATAAATTTATCATTTTATAAACCGATAAAATGTAATGCTTTATCAATTTACTTCATCATAAACTCCCTATCCCTGGCAAAGTGAATAATCAAGTATGATGTAAAATAAACATATAAATGACAATCAGCTAATGTTATCATTTAATACTTTTTTAAATTTTCCTCATAAGATTTCAATATGCATAATACAACATTCTGAATGGTGATGCCATATTTAGTCAAATGCCTCTACTGTGTCCACGAACATGACATTGCTTATGAAGCAATGAAAAAAAGGGGGGGGATATAACATATGAGAAAATACTTTTAAAGTAATGCTTAAAATAATATCAAAAATATACTAAAAATTGTAATCAATCTCCTTCTTTGCAGCAAGTAAGGTATTTTTCATTAACATAGCAACAGTCATTGGTCCAACTCCTCCAGGTACTGGTGTGATGAAGCTGGCTTTTTCAGAGACCGCTAAAATTTGTAAAAAAAAAATAAATAAATAAAATAAATAAATAAATAAAAATAATAATAATAATTTTTTTTTTATTTTTAATAACAAGATCACAAATATCAAACTATTTTCTGCATAAATTTTCTTTTTTTTTTTTTACTACAGAAAAAAAATTGTTATATTGCAAACATGAAAATTATAAAAGGTAAGGCAGAAAATGAAAGGATNAAAAAAAATAAATAAATAAATAAATAAAAAAATTTTTAATAACAAGATCACAAATATCAAACTATTTTCTGCATAAATTTTCTTTTTTTTTTTTTACTACAGAAAAAAAATTGTTATATTGCAAACATGAAAATTATAAAAGGTAAGGCAGAAAATGAAAGGATATAGAATCACTCTTTACCTTCAAAATCCACATCACCCACAAGCTTGGCCTTCCCAGTCTCGGGGTCTTTTATTCTTGTGATGCCAACATCAATAACAGCCACCCCTTCTTTCACCATATCCCCCTTAATCAGGTGTGGTATACCAGTTGCCACCACTAAAATATCTGCAGCAGCAAGATGACGCCTCAAGTCATCTGGCGGAGTATATCGATGGCAGATTGTGGTTGTGGCATCTCCTACAAAATAAAAACATACATCTTATGAATGAATAAAACATTTCAAACTTGGTTATTATTTGTATTTTTATCAATATCTCAAAAACTGCTGTTACAGTAGTTCCTAGAATAAATACCAAGCACAAAGTCATAATGGCGATGACAATTTCCAAGAAATGGGGGATAGTTTAAAGTTCACATAAAAAACAATGAAAAGCAGTTAATGCTAAAACTTACCAGCCTTTGTTTCCCCAATACCATCAGCATGCAGCAATACTGCGATAGGCAGTCCCACATTCTTAGACCGCCCGCAGACAACTGCATTTTTTCCAAAAGTTTCTATCCCTGAAAAGAATTAATCCAGAATGTTAAAAAGAACATAAAAAAGTTAAATTGCCATCAATAACAGAAAATTTCAGAGATGAAATATGCCTAAGGACATGAACAATGTAACCCATTTAGTAAATATTAAGTTTATGTGGCTCAGTTTCTCTATGAATAATGCTACTACACCATTTAATCATCCATTATATTATCAAAGATGTACGTGAAGTTTACTTAATATCAAATAGCTTACCTGATCGCTTTATCATCTCCATCACCCCAGCAGCTGTAGCTGGCACCAGAGCCTTGAGATCAGAACACAGCCTTCCAATATTTATAATATTGAAACCATCAACATCTTTTTCTGGGCAGACTGCATTACAAACGGCTCTCTCACTGATGTGTTTTGGAACAGGAAGCTGTACCAGAATTCCATCCACATCACTACATTCATTCAGCTCGTGGATTCTCTTCAACAATTCTGGTTGGGAAACTGTGTCAGGCAGGCGTATTGTTTCACTTGAAATTCCTAAATTAATTTTAAAAATTTGTACTTTGAAATAAGTGCAAAAATACAAATTGGAAGAGAAAAGTGTATTAGAAATCAAATGTAACCAATTTCTTTTTAACTAGATGTACACTACATTTTATGTAGAATCACACATTTTGTCACCATACAAAACAAAAAACTTTTGAAAAATCCAACAGTCATAATGAATTCAAATTGTTCATTTTAACAGATTAGAAAGTTTAAAATGTTTTTGGCACAATAATAATATAGAATTTGTTAAATAATGTTAAACAAAATAAACATATGGACAGCATGCCCACTTGTTATAAAGAAGGCTTATTATCTATCCCTATTCAATTTCAATTGTAGATTTAAAAAACTACTGAAAATATTTATTCATAACTACACTGATAAGGTATACCTGTGAACTCTGTGGCTTTCATTTTGTTCCTGACATAGGTATGACTTGCTGGGTCATCTCCAACAATAATGGCTGTTAAATGTGGTCGTTTGTTGCCAGCTGCCACCCATTCCTGCACCTCATCACGGATTTCTAATTTGATCTGCTTTGCCAACACATTCCCATTGATAATCTTGGCCTGGGTTCTGAAAACAAATATTCAAATATTTAAATGCAAAAGAAAAGGACATGTCATAAAAACATCTTAGATCTGTAATTGTAAAATGCATCTTGTCATGCCAGGTATTGCACCCATTTTGATATTTGAATATCAACATGCAGGCTCTAAAATGGAAATTCAAGTTTCATCAAATTTTTTCTTGCAATTCAATTCCACAAAGTTGGAAGGATTGTAGTCTTCAAAATTTTAGGTGGTTCAATCCCAAAATAAACTAAATAACCATTGCTCAAGAATATCTGTAGACAACAAAGAACTTGTGTTCAAAGACCAAGACCATTATTTAATTTCTTTATGTGAGAAAACAGACTTGTGGTTATTATAATTATTTGGCCTAGTGCCAAATCCCATCTGGACACAATAGAGAACTTGTGTTCAATGGCCCTTATTATATAATTTTTTTTTGAAAAATTACGTAGAGCGGGCAACAAATGATTTGACTGACTTTGGGTATGTGAAAGTGCATAAAGTATGGGTTTCCATTTTACTTGAAGAGTAAGCACAACTCAAACAAGTGACACTACATGTGACACTGCTGGTGGAATTGCAGTTGTCACATGACAGTCTGCATGGAATCTTGTCCAGGGCCTGGTCCTAAACAGTGTAGCTACAAACACAGACCCCCGCTCTGGTTCAGTGATGGTCTTTGTATCCTTTCATGGATGGCCTCTTTTACCCCATTCACACTACAGCCATCTATTCAAATAAAAAGCGAATTAGGACCCCGATTCGAATAATTACAGTATAGTCTGAACACACTACACATAAGGATTTTTGTAAACCAGTTTCTCAGATGGCAGTGTGAATGGGGTATTTGACTTTTGACAAACAGATAAACAAAAACCCTGCTATTGTTCTGGATTTTCTTCAGGGATTCGAATAACTTATCAGAACAGGCACCTGTTTAGATCTTACTGCGCATGTGCGCATTTCACCAGAAATTCAAATTTGCAAAATGTGTATTTTTCAGGTGGCAGTGTGAATGGGGAATTTGACTCCTCTCTGGAACCAGTCCTCTTCCTTGTTCAACACTATAACATCCTTCATGTCAAAGGAGTGGCCAGATTTCGTAAGATGAAATAATATTGCTGAATCATTTGTGCCTCCATTGCTGGGACCCCTGTGTGGGTGATTCCATACAGACTATCACACCACGACTACAATACCACCAGCAGTGTCACCTTCAGTGACAGTTCCCTGAAGATATCCTTGTGATAAAGGACAAAACACAGGAGTCTGTGTGACACCTAGCAGATCTATGCAAGTGTCCAGTATGAGATTTAGGGTTTTTTTTTTCTTTTGAACATTACAACTGGATGAATCATAGTTTCCATTTTGATATTTAAGAATAAGATTTATGAAAAATGAAATAAATATTTAAAATACACATACGAATCCAAACCCTGTTCCACATTTTAGACTAAAATTTATGGCTTTGATATTCACTTACATTGAGATGGTTTTGTGATATTACGTAGGCCTAAGGGCACTTCATGAACTATAAGCTAATGCTGTATGCTAAGTTGACATTCCTAAATGTAATGTCGCCCTTGTGGAAAAAAAATTGTGAAAACCATTAAAATGTGCTTCAGGGGATAATTTCTAGTCTAAGAAAAATTTGATCCTTTAGATTCTTTGTAAATTACATCTTAGTAAAAAAAATACTAAGTACTAGTGTACTAGTGTCTGGGGTAGCGCTAACACTCGCCAATTTAGCCAAATGCTAAAACTTGCTTAATTTGGCTAAAGAAAAGGGGCTTGATTTGACTTGTTTTAGTCAAATTATAACCATTTTGATAACAAATTGACAAAAAAGTGGTGATTTGGATAAGAGAAAAAAATTGCTAGCGCTACCCCAGCTAGTGATCCAGGCCACAGGCAATTTTCAACTCCACATTCATTATAAAATGGGTCTAGACAGTTACAAAAAAAATGGGTTTTGAAATATTCATCACAGGTGTTCAAATACAATGGAGATTTTACATTTTTATGGTATTAATGCAGTTTACTTATTTATTCTTTAATTAATTTTTTTTACTCATTTTGTGTGTGTTCATAGTCTATAGTCAATAGACAAGTGAGTGTTCACCATATACTAGAAACACAGGCTAAACAGGCTTGTATCTGTATGCATTTCTGTCACTGACCTAAAAAAAACATAGCATGACTAAAGAAAATTAGACTTTGAATTATTTTCAACATTTCCATTGACACAGCTTAAATTCAGCCCTGACCTGCTTTTACATTACTGCCTTTCAAGAGGAATAATAGAAGTTGGACGTGCCCAGCTAGGTCCGGCTGGTATTAACTGGTTTTAGGGGAAATTTCTATTCATGAGGATCGGACCTGTAGTGTTGGTTGAATTGAACAGACCTGAATACCACACTGTCCACACACATATGTTGATATACTGTAGAAAAATTGTACCACTTAGCTGGGGTAGCGCTAGGAATTTTTTCGCTTAGCCACATTGTCACTTTTTTGTCAATTTGTAATGAAAATGGTTTTAATTTGACTAAAATTCTTCAAATCAAGTCCTTGTTGTTTAGCCAACTTAAGTCAGTTTTAGCATTTGGCTAAATTGGCGAGTGTTAGTGCTACCCCAGACTTAGTATGAATACAGACAAAAAGGATGCTATTGCACTGTTCCTGAATTAATAACTGATGCTACATGAACAAACAAATATGTAAATGTATAGAATACAAAAATTGTACAATAAAACTATTTTCAAACTAAATAAAAACAGGGGGCAGGTTTGATTGTACAGTCTAAATGGTAAAATATCTTTTGAATCTTTTTAGAATATAGATATTTTCTGTTTCTTCTTAATTCTTCAAAAGCATTAACTAACCTCTATATTAAAAGATGCAAGGAGTGACATAGATATTGAACGACTAGATTGAACTGCAACTTAGCAGAGTGAGACTGGTTTATCACTATCAGAACAAATACCAGTGACCTTGATCTAATAAATTTATATTTGTTTTCCTCAGTCTAATGATAACCACCTAATGCACCTGCAGATTTTTGTTCTTCAAAAATCTGCAGGTGCAGATTTTTGTTCTTCAAAGACAGTGGGGGTGTTAATAAAGGAAAAAATAAGAATGGATAATTTTAAAACCCTGTTAATATTTACACATACATTGCATAATTAATATACTTTCTTTTGCTAGGCAAATTAAATTTGGCATGGCTGCAATGCCCATTGGCATTACTTAAATGTCAAACATTAACATTTCCTCCTTTTACATGATAAGCATATAATTATATAAATAGAAGTACACATGATGACTGAGTGATATTTTCATACCCTCAAAAATCCATCCAGAAATGCCATGATGACAAGACTTTTTGGGAAATACTGTACTCAATTCATGCCATGTCTATTTTTCAGCATGTNGAGAGCATGGATAAAGACATGTTAGTTTGATACGTGTTTCTGTGGTAAATTAGTGTTTCCAGCTGTGTACTGAAAACATAACTTTTCTTAAGCATTTTTTTTTTTTTTGGACTGTTTTTTTTTTTTTTCGCCCGCTCGCACCGACTTTGGGGTCCCCAGAGGATGTCATCCATAAAAATAAAAAAGTGTGGCCTAATTGTAAAATGCATCTTGTTATGCCAGGTACTGCACCTATTTTTATATTTGAATATCAACATGCAGGCTCTGAAATGGAAATTCAAGTTTCATCAAATTTTATCTTGCAATTCAATTCCAAAATTTTAGCTGAGCTGCAAACACTGGTGGTTCAATCCCAAAATAAACTAAATAACCATTGCTCAAGAATATCTGTAGACGACAAGGAACTTGTGTTCAAAGAGCAAGACCATTATTTAATTTCTTTATATGAGAAAACAGACTTGTGGTTATTATAATTATTTGGCCTAGTGCCAAATCCCATCTGGACACAATAGAGAACTTGTGGTCAATAGCCCTTATTATACAATTTTTTTGAAAAATTACTTAGAGCGGGCAAAGCATGATTTTAATGACTTTGGGTATGTGAAAGTGCATAAAATATGGGGTTACATTTTACCTGAAGGGTAAGCACAACTCAAACAATTGACACTACATGTGACACTGCTGGTGGAATTGCAGTTGTCACATGACAGTCTGCATGGAATCTTGTCCAGGGCCTAGTCCCACACACAGAGTAGCTACAAACACAGACCCCCCGTTCTGGTTCAGTGATGGTCTTTGTATCCTTTCATGGATGGCCTCTTTTACCCCATACACACTACAGCCATCTATTCAAATTAAAAGCGAATTAGGTCCCTGATTCAAATGATTGCAGTAGTCTGAACATATAAAGATTTTTGTTAACCGGTTTCTCAAAATCTGATGGCAGTGTGAACCGGGTATTTGACTTTTGACAAACAGATTAACAAAAATCCTGCTAGTGTTCTGGATTTTCTTCAGCGTTTCGAATAACTTACCGAAACCAACACCTGTTTAGATCTTACTGCGCATGTGTGCATTTCACCAGAAATTTGAATTTGAAAAATGTGGATTTTTCAGATGGCAGTGTGAATGGGGAATTTGACTCCTCTCTGGAACCAGTCCTCTTCCTTGTTCAACACTATAACATCCTTCATGTCAAAGGAGTGGCCAGATTCCGTAAGATGAAATAATATTGCTGAATCATGTGTGCCTCCATTGCTGGGACCCCTGTGTGGGTGATTCCATACAGACTATCACACGACGACTACAATACCACCAGCAGTGTCACCTTCAGTGACAGTTCCCTGAAGATATCCTTGTGATAAAGGACAAAACACAGGAGTCTGTGTGACACCTAGCAGATCTATGCAAGTGTCCAGTATGAGATTTAGGTTTTTTTTTTCCTTTTGAACATTACAACTGGATGAATCATAGTTTCCATTTTGATATTTAAGAATAAGATTTATGAAAAATATAATAAATATTTAATACGATTCCAAACCCTGTTCCACATTTTAGACTAAAATTTATGGCTTTGATATTCACTTACATTGAGATGGTTTTGTGATATTAGGCCTAAGGGCACTTCATGAACTATAGATAAGCTAATGCTGTATGCTAAGATGACATTCCTAAATGTAATGTCGCCCTTGTGGAAAAAAAATTGTGAAAACCATTAAAATGTGCTTCAGGGGATAATTTCTAGTCTAAGAAAAATTTGATCCTTTAGATTCTTTGTAAATTACATCTTAGTAAAAAAAATACTAAGTACTAGTGTACTAGTGTCTGGGGTAGCGCTAACACTCGCCAATTTAGCCAAATGCTAAAACTTGCTTAATTTGGCTAAAGAAAAGGGGCTTGATTTGACTTGTTTTAGTCAAATTATAACCATTTTGATAACAAATTGACAAAAAAGTGGTGATTTGGATAAGAGAAAAAAATTGCTAGCGCTACCCCAGCTAGTGATCCAGGCCACAGGCAATTTTCAACTCCACATTCATTATAAAATGGGTCTAGACAGTTACAAAAAATGGGTTTTGAAATATTCATCACAGGTGTTCAAATACAATGGAGATTTTACATTTTTATGGTATTAATGCAGTTTACTTATTTATTCTTTAATTAATTTTTTTTACTCATTTTGTGTGTGTTCATAGTCTATAGTCAATAGACAAGTGAGTGTTCACCATATACTAGAAACACAGGCTAAACAGGCTTGTATCTGTATGCATTTCTGTCACTGACCTAAAAAAAACATAGCATGACTAAAGAAAATTAGACTTTGAATTATTTTCAACATTTCCATTGACACAGCTTAAATTCAGCCCTGACCTGCTTTTACATTACTGCCTTTCAAGAGGAATAATAGAAGTTGGACATTCCCAGCTAGGTCCCGCTGGTTTTAACTGGTTTTAGGGGAAATATCTATACATGAGGATCAGACCTGTAGTGTTGGTTGAATTGAACAGACCTGAATACCACACTGTCCACACACATATGTTGATATACTGTAGAAAAATTGTACCACTTAGCTGGGGTAGCGCTAGGAATTTTTTTCGCTTAGCCAAATTGTCACTTTTTTGTCAATTTGTAATGAAAATGGTTTTAATTTGACTAAAATTCTTCAAATCAAGTCCTTGTTGTTTAGCCAACTTAAGTCAGTTTTAGCATTTGACTAAATTGGCGAGTGTTAGCGCTAACCCAGACTTAGTATGAATACAGAACAAGGCAGCAAAGCNTAAAAAAAGGATGCTATTGCACTGTTCCTGAATAAATAAATGATGCTACATGAACAAACAAATATGTAAATGTATAGAATACAAAAATTGTACAATAAAACTTTTTTTAACTAAATAAAAACAGGGGGCAGGTTTGATTGTACAGTCTAAATGGTAAAATATCTTTTGAATCTTTTTAGAATATAGATATTTTCTGTTTCTTCTTAATTCTTTAAAAGCATTAACTAACCTCTATATTAAAAGATGCAAGGAGTGACACAGATATTGAACGACTAGTTTGAACTGCAACATAGCAGAGTGAGACTGGTTTATCACTATCATAACAAACACCAGTGACCTTGATCTAATAAACTTATATTTGTTTTCCACAGTCTACAGATAACCACCTAATGTACCTGCAGATTTTTGTTCTTCAAAGACAGTGGGGGTGTTTATAAAGAAAAAAAATAAAAACCTGTTAATATTTACACATACATTGCATAATTAATATACTTTCTATTGCTAGGCAAATTAAATTTGGCATGGCCGCAATTGGCATTACTTAAATGTCAAACATTAACATTTCCCCCTTTTACATGATAAGCATATAATTACATAAAGAGAAGCACACATGATGACTGAGTGATATTTTCATACCCTCAAAAATCCATCCAGAAATGCCATGATGACAAGACTTTTTGGGAAATACTGTACTCAATTCATGCCATGTCTATTTTTTAGCATGTCTAACATTACTTAAAATATGCAAATTCCCAACCTTCAAAATCCTTTCTTCCCCAAACAGTCCAACCCAGTTATTGCATAACTCAAGTAAACCTAAGTAACCGACTAATGGATCCGTTTCACCAGTTGCCTACGTGCGATGACTACATGAGTTGTTTTACAGGAAACTTCCATATATCGCAATCTAACAATTCTGTTCATTTTCGTAAATCAGCAATCTGCTAAACAACAGTGAAATAAAAACAATGAAAATAGAAGAGCCCCACTATTCTGACATTCTACGGCAAACCAGTACCCATTTGTGTAATGTATACATACAATATCAATACTGTGTAAATGACGCAATCCAGACGCCAGCAAGGAGTGAAGAAGTTTTCATTAAATACTTGACAGACGAGTATAGTCTTAAAGGTCCTAGCTTACCCGACGTTTTGTATTATATTTTCCTCGAATGATCTGGTAGCAGCCCATCTCAAACTTTGCAAAAATGTGTTAGAAACGGAGAGCATCTGTGAAGCGCTGCGAATTGCCATGTTGCCGTGTGGGTGACCTTATGACCTAGTAATGTTTCCTGAACTTCCCCCTACTAACTGTGACCTTTCATCTCAACAATATTTAAAATAAAAATATTTTGGTATTGAAAACTGTATTTTTGTACATCAGTATACATAAAATAGGTACAGCTAAGCATAAAATCATAAAAAGATGACTTTGGATCGAGGGTAAATCTCAATCACAGGAGAGCTCTCGTAAACAAGATGGCAGCGCCCAGTGTGGAGGGTCTTCCTCTTACGGATACATCTTCAGGTGGCGGGGACCCAGGGGTAGCAAAACCCATTGCAACTACTCAGAAAGATGAACCATCTTACTGGCCATCTCCTGTTATTGCTTTTATCAGGGGAAAAGATCCTGGAGCGAATAAAACCAAACCTAAACGCGAAAGTAAGTAATGTTGTCAGATTTTTCAGGGTTTGTGTATTTCCTGGTTCGTGTTTATGTCAGATATCAGAGCGCATTTGCAGAGACCTAATGTGCATTTTGAAGGTTGTGTATAGAGTGAATTGATATTTGATAAAGTTGCATTACTTGATGTGGCTCGGTGGCTACAAAAAAGTTCTGGATTATTAACTCATCTTTACACGATATACTCGAGGTTTAGCATCATTAAAATTATATTTGAATCCATCAATTTCATTCACAATTTATCTGAATTCGAATCCAGATAGCATGATTTACTATAAGATGCTTTGAGTATGTGTTCAAGTAGGGGTACTTGTTAGACTTCAGATAAATTGGTTGAATATTTGATAACTAGTAAATAATAGACCAAAATGTTGAGAGGATTTTGATTGCATCCTTCATCAATGTAGAGGTCAATCTAGGAGTGTGCCCTGTGTTCAGGGTCTTGATCCTTTTCACTTCTTGTCCATATCACACTTTGACTGGTCCTAACATATAGAATTATGCTTCAAAATGATTTGTTCCCTTTCACAATTTTGTTTCCAATTTTTTAAAATAACCATTGAAAATTAATCCAGGTAGCTGGTCAGAATGATTGTAGATCTCTGTGTAGATTTAATAGGCAGGCTATCAAGCTGTTGATCCCTCAAAAAAGTTGCTGTACAGATTAGTATACCCTACAATTTGGAAAGGGTCTTAGATTAGGGAGGTCAGGTCACACCGCTCACTCAGTCGAAAACGGGAAGAAATCTAACCTCGCTGTTTGTTTTCCATCATAACTTCTAAGATTTGGGTCCTATGATAAATATGAAAATATATTTAAAAAGTGCATTGAATGGCCTTTTTAACAATATGTGTAACAATGTACCATGTCTCCGTTGTAAACCTCCAGCCACGAAAATGCTGCGAGAAATCGCCTGTGATTTCACTTCCTCGTTTGGTTCCCACTATTTACGCATTTTGCTCAACCTGCGCGTTTCGCGCCATTTTTCCAAAAGCTCCGTACGGCGTCCCGGGTGTTATTTCCACGTATTTGACCACATATTCATGCAGAGAATAAACTAAGCGTTCGACTGAGAGGTTACAGAAGGTGATTTAACCGAAAACAGCAACCACAACTAGCTTGTAAAGTTTTTAATCGTGTTTTAGAGCTAGAGTAAGGAAGTTCTAAAAATTCTGTAACCCCTACCTAGATAATTTAACTAATTCTTGGTTCAATTTAGTTAATTATTTAACATTTTTTGGTAAGACAGAGCCGTAACAGCCATTAGAAAATCAGTGACTTTGATCTTACCGCAAACAAAATGGCGGACGCACCAAGCTGTTCTGCTGATGAAAAAGCAACTGCACTTTCAGCACCCAAAGAGGATCAAGATATCAGAATATCTAATCAGAAAATCTTTGAATTGGTCGCGAAACCCAAGGATATTGATAAAACGTCTGCAATTCAAGAATATAGAGTTTATTTTATTTTTCAAACAAAGAATGAAATTACGTACGAAATTGATGGGGCTAATTCTTTTTTCGCCTAATTATAACTCGTCAGAGAACGTAAGAGGGGAATCTTAATTAAAATCATGAAGATATGCAATAACTCTAGAATGGTTAATGGCAATCAAACAAAAGTGAACAAAAGAACGGTTTATTTATTTTTTCTTAACAAAAAAAAAAGGAAAATTCCCCTAAAACTGCCATTACGTAATGGCAGTCTCTCGAAAAAAATCTCGCTGGTTTTTCTATTACCTAGCTGCTATGATGTCCAATATCAATTTAATTTTTTGGCAAAAAATAACTCACCGAAATCGTATATTATTTATTTTCATTGTGCATTCTGGCATTTTTACTAGTTATAAACCTCGTATATGCAATTGTCATTGTAATATTGGTTGCCATGGCAACAGTGACATAGTATTTGTTTACTATTTAACTTAAATTCATAAACTGAGTGCATAGAGTGTTTCCCACTTCATATTCAGTTTAAAGAATCATGATGACATGTAATAAATAATTCAAACTGTTACCATAGCAACAGCTATCATAATGACGATTTCCATAGCAACAGATACATTACAAGCCATGATTTTTGTTTTTAGTGGCACATTATTAAGAATCATTTTCATCCAAAAGTAGCCTTTGGGCAGTGAAGCTGAAGCCTCGGGTTGAAAAAAAAATAGTATCAACCGCTATTGATATTTAGCAATGGTTGCCATGGAAATAATGGATAAATTACAGACATTTTTTCTTGTCAGATTCTTCTTGGCATAGTGTAACTTTCCAGAAAATTTCAAATGGATGTTTTACTCCATTCAAAAGTTATGCCAATTTTGTTTAATTGATTGGGCAATTAGGTGACACTTTTGGCTTCCACTGTTACATGTGCTTGCATACAAGACTTTTTCAAAATTTTGTGGCCGACTAGCATTCTTGAAAATTTAATTACTTATGATTGGCTTGCTCGATTTTCAAAAAATAAAATGTTTTGGAAAGCTCATGAGTTGCTCTATCAGATGAGATCACTTTGGCTGATATTTAAGTTACTATCAAAGTTGACCTGACCTCCCTACTTAGATCAAAATGTGTAAAGTGCAAGATATAACATTATTGCTATTTTATTTTTATTGAAAAGAAAGGAAAAAAAAAAAAAAACAACGGAAAGTTGACAGCATGCAGGCAGCTGGGTCAAGTCACTATATGTATTGTTAGGTGTAAGGTGAAAATTAATGGAATCATTTGCAAAGTTGCACTGAAAATGGTTTAAAGTATGGTAAACATACTTATTTGTTGAGATGCTGTGCATTAACTCTATCTTAAAAATAGCTCTACATGTTATCTTTCTGCCAACATAATTTTGTCCGACTCGTATTTGCAATATTTGCAGATATACTGTAGCCTTAACTTAATAATAATTAAATTATATTAATAATATATTTATTTATTTTAAGTGGTAAATCCATAAAATATTAAGTAGACTTTTCAACATGAAATTTAAGAAGTTTATATGTAAAAATGATTTTTGAAATATATGCATATTTAATTAAATTTTTACTACAGACATAATTGATTAAAAGTAAAAAATCCAAGATTTCACGTTTTGTTATTTTAACAAAAAATGAATTTGAGTAAAACATCTTTAAAATGTGTTTTTTCTTTATGAAATTAATTTAGTGTTATATATATATATATATATATAGAGAGAGAGAGAGAGAGAGAGAGAGAGAGAGAGAGAGAGAGAGTATGCAGTAATGTGTTAGAGAAGCCAGAATGCATTCATACATCATTATTAATGGCAACATTAATTATGAGCTGTAATATTTATACTCTAAATCCTCAGAGCACAGGTCTTAAAAACCAGTCAAGCTCCAGGGTGAACAAAAAGGCATATTAACCCATTTCAGTGACAATTGTTGCATATCCCTTAAAGTCTCTTGGTGATTAGATTACTGTCTGGTGAGCATCCGAGTCATAAACATATGCAGAAATCAATAGATTGGCAAGCAGTGCCAGAAAGCCTGCACTGGCAAGTGTTATACTGCATGGAATGGTCTTAGAGAATTATTGACCCATAAGAACAGAATCTCCATTATCGCAACAAGCACCAAGGAACCCATTGGTTTGGATATATTTACCTGGGAAAAGCTTTTCCCTGGAATAGTGACTCACTCTCTCATCTCATTTCATCAGCTTGGCATTTCTGGGAGCTGTTTTGCAGGGTTTTTTTTTTCTGGATATTCAAAATGGCAGAAGAGACTATTTATCTGTGTAACTTCCGAGTGTCTGTGGATGGAGATTGGCTATGTCTGCGTGAGCTGCAAGATGTGCAGTTAGATATGCAGCACAGTATGCTCATGTCACCCACTGATGATGGTCAGTCTCTTATAATACATTTTATATGTAATATTAGCTACTTTACATAGTATGTATTGATTCTTGGTTAACTAATTCAATTAATTCTGGAGTCTAGGTAATTGTGGATTTAGATTCAAGTTTCAACCTCCAATTATTTTCTATGAGGTGTTCAATCTTCTGGAATCATTTGACACTGGTCAAATGGAAATACCATTCTCTATCAAAAAGTAGTCATGAAGGATACTTGTTTTAGCATGAAATATATTCATTTACAGGCATGTAGACAGCAATTTCAAAGGAGAGGACTATTTCCCTGAAAAAAAAAATACTGGGAAGCCTAACATAGAACCTAGATCTTATTTTGATTCACAGTATCCCTTTGCCCAGTGTTTCTTTTGAACAGTGTCTGGAAGCCCTCAAACACCTCATCCTCTGTTCCTCCTTAGCCCAGCCTACAGGCTTGATTTGGTAAAGCATGAAAGTTAATGTTTTACCAGGATGTGTCTTCATGTTTGAAAATATTTTCTGCCAGGTTATCATGTTATTTGATACAGTGGATTGATAGGGAAGACCGAGTTGTTTGAAGCACAGTCTTGTTATTAGCTGCTATTACCAAATCAATACGTCATTCTATTATTGTGTGTTCATAGATTATATCAGAAATGAGGACCTGTCGTTTCAAAGGGGAATGGTTTCTTAGTATTTCTAAGTTTCTGAGTATCTATATTTATGTATTATATTCGTAGATACTGTAGTAAAGAGTATGTTATTGATTTTG